GCCAAATTCAACATAACACAGGCAGACAGATGGACACAAACACCCACACTCCCACACATACCAGGCTCTCTATAAGTTCCTAAAAAGGTTATTATCTAGTTGATAGTTAAAAATCATTGCTAACTCTATGCTCTACTAAAATATCATCTGTCTGAATTACCTAGGTAATGGAGGCTAGCACTAGAATAAAAATCATACCTAAATGGTTATATTAGTAAGAAGTCAACACAATGGAACAGGCTGTATTGCTGCTTTAAATTATATCACACATATTATCTCCAAAGAAAGACAGGTTCAGGAGGATTGTTTTAAAATTATTTATGAGGCAGAGCATCATACTCACTGAGGAAAAATAGCTTAAAATATTTCTATGATTAATGAGATAAACTTGTTGTTCCAGATTCTACAGGACAAACACAGTCTAATCTTTCTGTGACCTAATTTATATATCTACAGACATATTAGTTTATTTAACCCAGGGCAGTCTGTTTTGCAGGAGACTAAGCAAAGAGCCAATCCCTGGATAAATCGTTCTATGACAGAAGCTCCACTTTCCTTTCTGAAAAATGGAAGCAGAGTATTGCTATCTATGTCTGTCATCACAAGGGAAATGCCTATAAATTACGTGACCTTTGGTGTAATACTACAGAAACTGTCAGCATCAATATTCAAATGGAAACCTTGGAGACAGTTCTCTTTATAAAAGTCTTGCCACAATTTGCAGCCCAGCCATATATTACTGACGTATCTTTCATACTTGGTGGTGCATATGATGGGATGTGGGTGGGTGGGTGGGTGTGGAAGTGTCCTCAATTTTTAAGCTCATGGAATAAGAAAGGTTTGGAGTCCAGTGCTCCAGTCTAGCATCTTTCAATTTCCCCTTTCTCTTTCTACATCGTGGCTTTACTTAAAGTACATGTCATTCTGCAAATCCCTCCAGTGTTTCATTCAGCCCAGTCCTTCTCCCTTCCCTCCCTTAGGAACAACACATCCCCCTATATTTCTGCTTTTTCCTCAAGCACTTCCTGTCTTTACTATTCTCACTAATGACATCACCTTTTCACAGCCTTCTACAAGGCAGTGTTCATTGACTCATCCATCTGAAAGGCTATGAAGCTATTTATAGGGAGCCTCTTCTATATTGCTGACTTTAGAAAAAAATTCCATGACCCCATTAATCAACCTCTTACTTCCCTACTCTAATTACAGAACACGAGTGCCAGGCTTTTCCTTCTCAGTCCTTGGCATTACCTTTAATTCGGGAGAAACTGAGAACTTCTAAATCATTTTACAATTTTATTTAGTTCTTTAGCGGTAAGAGCTTCATTTTCAGCCTGTTAAATGTAAAGTTTACCACACCTATTCTCTTGACTAGAATCAACACCCCACACCTTTAAAAATTACATCTCCCATTATTTTCTCTTTTCCACTGTCTTAACTCAAGAACATATTCTGGGAACCAAGTCAACTGTTTTTCTTGGTTACCCGCCCACCCCCCACGCCACTTCCCTTCTTCACCCCCACATTGTATGTTCTCAGAATTGACAGTGGCTCCATTTGTCCCCTGTGCTGTTTCTCTGTTGACACTGTCTTGCTCCAACTTCTTTCTCAAACCAAACAGAAGCAGTGGGTGGCATAAAGTGAGTTATATGCATGTAAATACAGAAAGGAAGACAGATGAAAGCGTATGTTCAGTGTGAGTTTATTTTAAAAACTTAAGCGGTGTTTAAAACAAAGAAATGTAAGAAAATATTTCTTACTTTAAAACTGTCATGGACCTAATGAAGTGTGGTAAGGATGATGTTGGTGGGAGTGAGTGGTTAGGTGGCAAATGTAAGTCACAGTAGACGCTCCATTGCCGTACATGGATCTTTTCACTACGCCGCACCCCCAACTCTTCCCTGCGTTTCTGAGGAGAATGCCACTCCTTTCAGTTCTATTCTAGTACACGCCTTTCCGTGACTCTCTTCCAGTTTTTTAAGCATTCTTATCCCATGGCTGACTTCACCTACTTTGTAGACATGCATCCATTTGGTATCTTCTCCCATCAACATCCAAACTGAATGCAGCTGAGAAAAAAATATCATACTCTCTTCCAAGTTACTAGTCCCACCTTGGCAAGCGTCACACTTAGCACTCTTAGCATGTCTGTTTGGTCAACTCACTTCCCTTCTTTCTGGAAATAACAATTTCATGTTTTCTTTAAAATTGTCACGTGCTTATCCTTTACTCTTTTTCCACTTGATTAAAAAAAAAAAAAAAAAAACAATAAATGGCTCTGTGTGTAATGTCAGTTGGACATGGACCCTATCTTTTCCTGTGCCCCGTGGAACCTCACACTTGGGGTTATTTGAAATATCTTATTCTCAAGCCTCCCCACACCGCTGGCATCTTGTATTGACATTTATTCCTTTCTTATTCTGTCTTTTCTTGTGACAAAACTTCTCTCAAATATCCCCTACTTTTCATACTTTCTCTATTCCTTCTAATTAATGCTTCAATTCATACAATGAGGCCTTCCCATAATTTTATGAAAATAATCTTGTCATGGTTAATTTAGTTATACAGAAATCTAAAATATACTATTTTCCCTTTTACTCATTTTTCGGTTCTTTGTAGATTTCCCCTACATGGATTAAAAATGAGATATTCAGGCTAGGTCCTGGATGTTGCATTTGCACGATATAGCCTCTTTCAAATCTGTCTTTGGGATCAACAGCACAATTGCATAGGCATCCTCAGCAAACACATTAGAAGTATAAACTCTTGGCTTCCACTTCCTAACTTACAGAAGAAGAAAACAAACAAACAAACAAAACAACCCCCCAAAACCAAACCAAAACCAAAAAACAACTCCAGATGAAGTCTGCCAATCTTCGACAAACCACGTGAGCAACCCCAATTTCTTTTGGAAATTGAGAACTACTGCCCCAGAAAATCTTTTTGCCAGTGATCATAAACTTCTCTTTCAAGACCATAGTTCTTTCTGCCCACCCCTTCCCACAAGCGCTAACTGCAAGTTTAATCTGAATATCTTCCTGAGGCATCCTCCTGAACAGGACCCCAGTGGGGTCGCCTGCATACTGATTTCTCCTCCGCAATTTTAAGTCTAACTTTCCCTTTACAAGCTACTTTCCACCTTTGGCTATTATCACTTTACTGGAGTCTCACTCCACTTTTGTTTTTTGTTTGCTTTGCTCTGTTTGTTTTGAAGCAGGGTTTTTCTGCATAAAAGCCTTGGTTATCCTAGAACTCGCTCTGTAGACCAGCCTGGCCTCTGATTCACAGTGATAAGCCTGCCTCTGCCTGCGGAGAGTCAGAATTAAGAGCATATGTCACCACAACCCAGAAACATTCCTTATTTTAAGATCAAGTAAGTACATTAAAGGTACTCCGTATTTTATAAAATTTTCTTTGAAATGTTTTATTTAACTTTATTATTATTTTTTTTCTATTTCCATTCTTTCCCTGGTTCATCTCATTCCTGCTGTTTTTATTATTGTTCCAACTATCTGTCCTGGGTTCCCTGATCTAGTTTTGCTACCATCTTGTTGTCAACTACCATCTCTAAGCAGATGATTCCATATGGTTTTCTTTCACTTTCTTAAGCCCGAATTCCTTGTTTCTCTTATTTCTGCGTTACTCTGTAAAACAATGGCTAGACTATTATTTGGTTAGCTCATCAAAGAAAAGTCTAATGTTCTCCTCTTTAACTCTATACAATTCTAATCACTTCAGCAAAAGACATTCAAGACATTCAACTGTCTTTTCCCCCAACAAAATCAAAACCCAAAAAGCAAAACAATCATCTATTTTATAGGTAGGAGTATTTACAGTGTTCTGACCTGAAACATTCATTTTTTGTTCTTTTATCTGCCTTTAATTCAATAAACTTGCTAGCATATTATCAGGGGTTTGTATGTTTGTGAGTGTTGTGTGTGTGTGGGTGTGGGTGCAGTCATTTCCTTAGCAATTATAATTTAACAGGTGATCTTAAGTATGTATTTAATCAACTAGACTTTTTACTAAAATGTCATTTTTCAAGGCTTCTGCGATGTCCCTTAAAAAAAAAATCAAGCATTCCTAGCTAAATATATATTTCCTTTGGGTCCCTTTTATTCTGCCTGCTAGTTTCAAACAAAGTTCAAAGTTTGTCATTTGCTAATGTATGAGATAAAGGGAACTGACTCTTCATGAGGGTGCAATGCTAGGATTACCATCTCATCAAAACTCTGAAAAAAAGAAAAAACACCCATTCCTAGCTCTGCAAGATTTTGCAATCCTTTCCAATGAACATTTTTGAGTCCTTGGCCCTAGGTACATCTGGAAACTTAGAGCAGGGGCTTAAAAAACCCCAATTCCAAAACAAACGAAGCGCTAGAGAGTCTGAAAAGAGACAGGTCACTTAGGAACGAGAGTCCTTTGATGCAATGAAAACACACGGGCGGCCTCGGGTAGGGAAAAGTCCTTGACAAGGGAGCCAGAAAATGAGATGTAAAAGGAGAGCTGCGGAGAGGTATCCGGAACCCTTTGCCCAAAGTCTGTGACCGCTCCACGGACCCCGTCCCCAGGGGCCCCGTCCCCACTTCACTGCACCCTGGGAGGCACAGTCCTTCCAGGGAGGGGGGAGCGGTTAGGCTGCGGCACGCAAGTGCCCGCAAATCCTGAGGCGTGCCCTCCTGCAGGGAGGCGATCGACACCCCGCGGAGCTCCACTGCGGCCGTCCCCTGCGTGCTCTCGAGCCTCCCCGAGGCGCCAGGAAGCGGGGACCCTCGTCACAACTCACCGCTCCGCCCCGCCGCTCTGTCCGTTCCCGGTCGCTCTTTTCGAACCCGTCCCCGCACCAACCGGCACCCGAAGCGAGAAACAAAGGTTCCCGCAAGCGGACGGGAGGGGAAGGTTTCCTAGGGAGACCTCCGGAAGTGACGCCGGGCCTCTTCCGGTCCGCCGGATTATGAATGGCGGTGGGCGGGGGCAGTTCGCGGACACTTTCATTGCTCCTTCTTGGTGCTTGCCATTTCCACCCCCTTAGGGGCCTGACTGGAGGCGAACGCTCCTCAGGCCGCGGCTTCCCGAAGGAGCCTCGGAATCCCGGCTCGGGCTGGGCGGGTGGGCGGGAAGCCTGGCCGCGCCCCTGCGACCAGGTAAAGAGGGCGCTGGGGCTCTCGGCCCCTCCGGCCCCTAGGACCGCGCCGTCCCCCGGAGGTCGGCGGGGCTGAGCTAGGGGGCCAGGCGGGCCGGGTCAAAGTCTTCCCAGCCCCGCACTCGCCGCAGACTTGAGCGTGGGTGCGGGTGGAGGGCTTCGCGCCGTTCCCCGCAGAGACGCGTGGGCCACTGCTGCCAGCCGGCCCCGGGGCTTCCAGCTGCGTGGGTAAAGGAACCGGGCAGCTCTGCGGCGTCGGGGGTGTGGGGGGGTGGGGGGTCGTTTGCACTCGCGAGCAGGGTGCGGAGCTCTCGGAGCACACTTGAACTTTCCCCAAAGACAGTTTTCCGTTGCAGCCCTTCCTGATTGGACGCTGTACATGGGTACCTGTTTCCCAGTCGCTTCATCCGATTTGCTGCATCTTGGGACGCTTGCTTATAGTATCCCCATCAATGAATGCAGCGTCTCTCTTCGACAGTTAAAATTGAACAGAAAATTTGGGATGAGTTTGCATGACAGTTGCGTTGGCTTCAAAAATGACTCCCCAAACACATACCGCCCCAACTTTGCTTGACTTGGGAATTACATGATCCCTTTCTTTCCTCCAGCTCCCACTAATGTATCTCCTACCAAATTACTGTGAAGGGCCATGGTGGCATTTGTCAAGTTTTCCTTGTGTTTTTCTACAGAAAGGGTATTTAAAAGAAAGAATACCGAAACCAGCAAGAACTAGTGATGATTTTAAACATGTAAATATGGTCTTTGAAATGCCACGAGAATAAACTCTTATAATACAATAACTGATATGCTGTCATATTTACTAGATCAAACATTAAGCTGTATGGGTTTTTTTTTTTAATAACTGCACTGTGGGAGCACACACTACGAAATTGATTGCCTTAAGTATTCTCATTACTTGAAATTGTATTTCATTTGCACCTGAAGGCTTCATTTTAAGAGGCCTAACTTCAAAAGTAAGATTGAGGTTTGAACATTGCTCTGTGTTATTAATTTAAAAAAAAACCACCCCACCTTTAAACTAGCAGGGGTCATGGAGAGATGGGCTTTCGAGGAAGGGGAGATTGGATACAGTGGTGTACAGTTGGGAGGGAAAATGGAAAGAATGTTTCTATATATTTGCTCCGTTTAAACAAAGCTAAAAGGAGCTTTCGTGGTTGTGGACCTATGAAGAATGGTTTTAAACCTGTTGTTTCAGCAACACATGCTTTGAAATAAGCACAAACAATCCAGTTTGTTTTTACTAATAGCAATAATTTAGCAGACAACAAAACATGTGGGACTAACCAGGTGGCACATCTGTAGTATAGTTACTTGGTATGTGTTGTTTTTATCCTTAAATTCAAAGTAACTTCCTGGATTCTGCTGTGATCACTTCTTGGGGTGTAGGAGTTTAAGCTTTGTATGGTATAATAAGTATTGTTTGAGATAATTCAGCATTTTCATTTCAGGCTTTGCTGATACTTTCAACATGTTTACATTTCATGCTGTCAATCTGTGTTTACCACAGGTCAGATTTAGCTGCAGGCATTATGACTCCATAGGAACGGACAATTCTTTGCGTCTCCAGAGAGATTATGTACTTCTTCTATAACTAAGATTTCAGTAAGCATTTCACTACCGAACTTGTCTTATTTCATAAATATTTATTGCTCCATTAATAGCTAATTTTAATCAGGGGTTTATTGCCTCTGAACTATCATCCTATGTTACATAACAAAATGAACATTAAAAGCTGCATTTCTCTTTTTTGACTTTTAGTTAGAGATTGTTAGCTAACTATCTGTGAAGAAAGCATTTTTTAAAATCTGTATTGCAATAGAGTACTGTGGGGTTTGTAACCAAATAGTACTGCTCTGTGAGAAGTTAAAACATGAGCCAAGATCTCCATTCAGTGTATCTAACGTTCTCTGATGGAGAGAAGCTGAACAGGTATAAACCAATTTCAGTATTTGATATGTAAATTTTCATACTAAACTATGCCAAACTTTATTTCGTATAATACAGTCTGCTAATATATATATTGACTTTATTTTCCATTTATACTCCACCATTTTATGACTCCTTGGCTCTAAACATCAGTACCAAATTTTTAATGTTTGTGGGGAAAAAAAACAATTTTCAGTTCAATATAGTCAACACATTTCCTGGGGAGAAATTTGGAAATAAAAAACCTAAGTTGAATTTTCCCCATTAAGATTCATGCAATTTAACAATGTCACTAGGTAAATTATTTGTGACTAGATTATAATGAATGGTAGGGGCTGAGGTGTAACTCAGTGGCAAAGTGCTTACCTAACACATGTGAGGCCAGGGGTTTTGACTTGTAGCACTGCCTGAAACAAAGTAGCTAGCATTTACTTTAGGGTTTCCTATGTAACACTTAATTATCTACCATAACATGACATATAGAAGGTGCTGCTGTTACTGTCCTCATTCAGAACTAAGACCAAGGAAAGTTGTACAGCTCCTAAGAATCAGAACCAGTGTTTAAGCCCAGTTTATTTGTTCAAGAGCCTGAGCTTTTACCCATCACTAGACATGTGTTTAGACTCCCTGGTTAAGGTTCCTAGTTTTCCTGTCTGAATATCAGTATTTATGTCTTTGTTTCCTTACTCACTCAGCTCATGAAGGCGGATGTATTTCTTCATTTTTATTTATATTTAGCCTAGACTGAGAAAATGGTGTCAGTAAGTGAGGCTGATGTATCAGACTGAGGTCCTCAATAGAATCCTTGTACTGTTCATTGGCAATCGTGTATATTCCATCGTCTTTATTCATCCCATGAACTAAAACTTGAATATTATTGATCACGAAAGGTGTCATGTGATGCACTAACAAGGGAAAGAATGCTGGGTAACAAGCTGAGGAGTGACAGGAGTGTGTTCCCAATTCGTGTGGTCAGGAAAGGCTTCTTAAGATAAGATGTGCTAGAGAAGTCAGTGACGTCAGGAAGGGAAAATGAACGGCCAAACTCAAAAGTTTTCAAGTAGCAGGTCCCAGCCCCTTTGAGGAACAGGAAGGAGTATTGGTGGACGTAGTGAGAAAGGATATTAAATGAAGTCAGAAAATAAAGAGGGGATCACATGGGGTCCACACTGTTTATTACAAGTGTGCTGAGGGACTCCTGGGTAACACTGTGCAGGAGACGTGTTTTTAAAGATGATTATTGGAGAGCAGACCTGTGTGGAAGTGGGGTAAATCAGACATAACTACATCTGTAGGCTGCTGATACCTTGATGAAAGTGGTTGTAGGAGATGCTAAGGAACTAGATTTAGGTTCTGTTTCAGAGGAGATAGCAAGCTATAAGGGAGTTTACTTGGGGCTTGAGTCTTTGAGGTAGGTGAATAACATTGCTGTTTGATCAACAATGGGGCCAGTAAAGAAAAGGAACAGATTTAGGAAAAGCCAGTTGAGTTGTCAGGGAGCCTGGAGCTCAGACGAGATGTGCCTGAAATAAATGCAGGAGTCAAACAATATTTAAAGCCACTGGCACTGCAGATCACATAGAATGGTGCTGTTGAAATGTGATCTCTGAAGCATTTAACTAATTATTCTTTATCAATAAAAAAAAATTGGTTGTCAGATATTGGGATAAGAAAAATGAATGATCAGAGAAGCTTCACAGCAGCCATAGCTGACTTCCTATCTCTTCCGTTCCTCTACAAGGGCTGAGATCCTCTCTGAGTTCCGCCTTACTACTTCCTCAGTCCTCTGAAAACTATGGTTAATTTTGGTCAGCTAGCAGCTAGCTCTGCCCTCTGATTCAAAACAAGCTTTATTGTCAGAATGCAATCAAATTTCACACAACAGACTTCTCTACTGATTGATGGTGGGTCATGAAATCAGTCAACAGCCGTAATTTAAAAGGAAAGAGAAAAACAGCACAAAGTCAGATTTATTTAGTGTAATAGAGTATTTATGGTATTACTTCAGGGTTTATGTTGCTTTTTCTGGTTTTAGAGATTATATATACTAGCCCAGTGCTCTCCCACTGACCTACACTTTTGCCTTTTTTAAATTTTGAAACAGGGCCTCCCTAAGTTTCCCGAGCTAGCTTTAAATTCACCATGTAGTCCAAGCTGGCTTCAAACTGTGTAATTAGAATTTGAGCAATGAATGACTGATCCATCAGAAGAATACCAAGTAAGTGGAATCAGGAAGCAGCTAACAAGGACTTGTATTTAGTATTTAAAATTGCCAAATAACCAGCCTTTGTCATGAAGATTTTTTTTGTGGGGGGGGGGGATTACGAGGTTGGGATCCTTGATAGAAATATTTTAATAACAAAATTTCTGATAATTTTCACTCTCATAAGATGGTTCCTATAATAAAATAGCTTTTATTTATACTGTTATCTTATAGTGTTAATGCTTTCTGAACTTGGGGTTTTGAGACAGATTCCTATGTACCACAGGCTGGCTTCTCATTGGCTATGTATTTTAGGATGACTTTGAATTCTGATTCTCCTGCCGCCACTTTATGAGTGCACAATAGTATTTATTCTAGGAAGATTTCTGAACGTTTTCAGAATAGATCTCTTCGATTCAGGTAATACTTTAGTTTTTTGAGACATGTTCTCTGTGTAGCCCTGGCTGTCCTATAACTGACTATATAAACCAGGCTGGCCTTGAACTCAGAGATCCTCCAGCCTCTGCCTCCTCCTGAGTGCTGGGATTAAAATAAAGGCATGTGTACATGCCTAGCTATATTTTTTTAATGAAAAAATTACTAATATCTTGCTGTATAACATGGTTTCTGGTCTGTCATATAGAGTGTAATATTGTTGCCAAAAAGCCTGACTTGAATTTTAAACACAAAACATCCAAACTGATTTTTAAAATTCTAGCTGATAAAGAAGATTTTATTTTAAAAGTTTGTCTCTATTCTCTGTCTGTCTGTCTTTCTGCCTCTTCCTTTCCTTTCCACCCCTTCCTTAGACATTTCACACAGACATTAATGGGGTGAACTATTAAAAAAAATTTAAGACAGGTTTTCCTGCATGGACCTGGCTGTCCTGGAACTCAGTATGTATACCAGGCTGGCCTTGAACTCACAGAGATCTGCTGCCTCTGCCTAAAGGCACAAGCCAAGCAGCATATGAAATATTTTGTCAAAGCCAAGATATATTAATTAGAATTAAAATACAAATGTCTAATTGCCTAAGTATTATACCTATTATTTTAAACAGCCATTTAAAAACATATCCGAGACTGAAGCTTTAATATTTTCCTTTGACCTATTTATTTTCCCTGCAAATTCTCAACTGTGTTGACATAAGAGATAAATGCATGTTCTGTTGGTGGTGTTCAGCTCCTGGAGCTTTATGTTCTTGTCTACTGTTTTGTCATTTCCTTCAGTGACTACAGTATGGCATGTGCCAGAATTGAGAAAGCAAATGACAGGTCTGTGCTTGACAAAATCTAATAAGGGGCAATGCATGCTGTGCTCTAGAAACCTTGAGGTCCCTGAAATTGACTCTTGAGTGTCTGTCTTAAAGTTCATGTATAGCTGGGGAATTGTCAAAGCAGAAAAAGAAAGGAAAAATGAATTTCTTTTTGCTTAATATTTATCAACTTTAAGCAAAAACTATATTCTGCTCCTAAAAACACAGTGCAAGCCATAGCACCCAACAAATTTGTACAGGATTGTTAAATGTTTGATACTTAACAGTTATACTAATGAGTAATGAGGAGAAATTGCCCAGGGAGAGGGTTGTTTTTTTTGAGACAGGGTTTCTCTGTATTTCTTTGGAGCCTGTCCTGGAACTAGCTCTTGAACTCACAGAGATCCATCTGCTTCTGCCTGCCGAGTGCTAGGATTAAAGGTGTATGCTACCAACATCTGGCTAAGGGAAGTATTTTTTTTTTTTTTTTTTTGAACTCCGCCATTATTAATTAACATTTTGATCTCCAAGGGTGGGAGAAGAAAACCCACCAATATTGGTATTGGGAAAACAACAACAAAAAATATTAGAAATCAATTGTACTTCACATTTTCCCTGGACTTCTCAGTAACTTTTCTGATTTCACCATGGGAAAGTATTTCTATTTTATTTTGTTGACATTTAACATTAGTAAGTACTCACAGTGAATCAAGCTTATAGCTTATATGTAAAAATGTCTTTTTCATGTTTTTTTTTTTCTGTACCTTTCTACAAATGCACATGCTTCACACACACACACACACACACACATGCACACACATTTTTTTTCTTTCTATTACACCCTCTTCTGGTTACATACTTCTAAATGCTTTTAAAGAGTGCCATCTAGTGTCCACTTTTGAATTGTGGTTTATAGATTAGAATGTCGTTAACCCTGGACTAGGGACTCAAAGCAAAAAGTCATAATTGACAAAAACCTTAGAGAAATAATTTAACCTTTAATTCAACTGGTGTGTATACTCATATATGCATTCCTTCAGCAAATACTTTTTACATACAAATATTTAAGTATAATAGTTCACAAAATTCTCTTACAGAATATTCTAATAGTCTATTAGAGAACATATTGAAAAAATAGTGTATTATAATAGTACCAAGTGCCGTGGAGAAATTAAAGGTTAGAAGGTAAAGTAAAGGGAGTATGTTGGTTGGGGTTTATAATATAAAAAATAGCTGAAGAACATCTCAGTAAGATGTAACCTATCATTAAATAGGCAGAACTCTGTGAGGCTAGAATGTACATAGAGTTTGGGAGAATCTTAATTTACTTTGGGGGAAGCAGTAAGCAATGAAAAACAATGGGATGAACTCTGAACAGAATAATTACATCAGCATCTGTGTAGGCACTGTAGATGTATGACTGGTTTCAGTAGGATGGGAGGTTCTGCAGGACTTGAGCTGAGTGGCAGAACTTCAGATTGAGGTGGGGGGGGGACGGGAGAGGTGGAGGCAGCTGGTATAATTTAGAGGTGATGGTGACTCAGAAATAGTGAAAATGGTATAGTATTTCTACTGCAGACAGATCCAGAAAAAAATTGCTGGCGGAGGAGCTGTAAAAAAATACTACTAACACCAAGGTTACTCATCTTAGAATCATCACTAAATGTGCTCAGTTGTACAGACTGGGAAAAGTTTTTCTTTCGAAAGCATTCATCCTTGAAGTAAAAATTCTCACTAATTCTTTTTGAAAACCATTAATCTTTTAGCTTCTAAATTATTGTATTTGAAGGCCTCTAACCACCTTGATTTCTCTTATAGGTGACCAATGAAAAGAGAAAATGAAAGGCATTCAGAAAAGTCCTACGGAAGAATCGCTGTACCTGGAGTACTCTCACCAAGCAGAAGGGAGCATCTTCCCTCTCCACACTTCTGTAGCTCTGTTTTTATTATCCTACTGTGACTGCAAGGTCTTTAACGTTTACTTAGTCTTTTCTGAGGAAAACACAGACACTTCACTCCTAAGAGAGGCGCTGTCCCAGGATGTGGACGTACAGTTTATTTCAAGACAGGCGCTCCCACCGATAGTCCAGAATTGCTGTTTGCCTGCGGTGGTAGAGCAGCCAGATGTTTTCTGTAGAGCAGGACTTGCCGTTGTCCTGAGACACATAATCCAGAAATGCTATGAAGCTGAGCCATCAAGAAAGGAGATTTTGGGACTTCTGGGTTTTAAAAAGACTTGTTTGAAAGCATGTGCTGAAGTAAGTATATGGTCTCTTCTGTTGTTTAAAGCTATAAGTAGTAACATTCACTCCAACATGATTGTAACTTCCTATGGGAGAGTTAAAAGAGTTCTTTAGGTGTGTCATCATTACAGGGCAATACTAAACAAGAGTTTAAGATGTATTGTATGAAGTTTAGATACATTGTTTCTCTGTTATATTGAGGACCTTTAAAAAAATTGTTCATATATATGTAAGAGCTGAAGTCATAGTGCCTTGTAAGCTGTGGGGAGTTTTAAAGGCTTTTGGGGTGACTTAGTTTCCTGTTGTGATAAGATGCCATGCCCAAGGCAGCTTGTAGCACAAAAAATAAAAGACCTAGAGACTGATATTAGGGTTCAAGCTTCAAGCTCAATATCAGAAAAGCAAAGCAGCCAGCCACTAGCTGTCACCTTTAGCTTAGGCTGAAAGGGCTGGTCCACACACGAGCTCTTCACCAAGTCTGAAACTGCTGTCTCTCCTCTGAACGCCTCTCTGAGACCTTGCTTCTGTCTTGTATACTTCCCTAATGTTGGGATTAAAGGTGTGAGCTATAATTCTTGTTTAGACTGCTTCACTCTTGATTAGATCTGGGTGGCCTTGGACTTAGAGAGATTCATCTACTTCTTAATCCTTAGTCCTAGGATTAAAGGTGTGTACCACCACCTCCTAGCTTCTAGCTGCTGGGATTAAATGTGTGTGGCTGGCTTCTATAGCTTATGGCTTACTTTGCTTTCTGACTCCTCAGGCAAGTTTTAATAAATCAGAAACGGTATCTCACCATGACAGCTTACAGAAGAATGAGTTTATTTGGAGATTAGTTTCGTGGAGTTAGAGTTCATGACCATCATGGCAGATATCGCGGCCAACAGGCAGGCATGGTGTCAAAACAGTCGTTGGGATCTCACATCTTCAGACACACCCTCAAGGCAGAGTACTTATAGAGAATGGCTTGAGTCATTTGAAATCTCAAAACTGTTCCAAGAGCCACATTTCCTCCAAGAAGGCCACACCTCTGAAGCCTTCCCAGACAGTTCCACCAAGTGGGGATAAAGTATTTAAATATACGAGCCTGGGTGGGCTTATACTCACATAAACCACCACATTCTACTTCTTAGCCCCTTCAGGCTTGTGGACATATCATAAAGTGAAAAGCATTTAGTCCAACTTCAAAAACCCCCAAATCTTTCAGTCTCAATACTGTTTCAAAATCTAAAGTTTTGTCTGACACTTCAGGCAATCTTTTAATTGTAACCACATATAAAATCAAAAAGCAAATTATGTACTTCCAACCTACAGTGGCATGGAATTAATATTACCATTTGAAAAGGGGGTAAGGAAATACTGGACCCGTGCAGTCCCTAAGGGCCAACTTCAGATTCTGTAGCTCCATGTCTCAAGTCAGAGGCTTAGATGGCTCCACCTTTTGCACCTACCTGATTGCAACACACTTCTTTCTCTTGGGCTGGTCCCACCCCATCTGCAGCTTTCCTTGACAGATGTCTCATGGCTCTGGTCTCCTGGGGTCTCACAGTCCAGGCTTCACATTCCCAGCTTTTTGCAGTGGCCTCTGAGACTTCCATGCAGGGACTTCCCTGCCACACACCTGGCCTCAGCAGCTCTCCTTAACCCTGGAGGAAGATTTTTATGATCCCTTAATTCTTGTTTCCTTCCTAACTCTAAAGCCAGACCATATGCTGCCCACTTAGGATGGAGCTTGGCTCCCTTCTTGTCTTACATTTGCAGAAGCTTTCTTTGTTGTTGCTTTTAGAAACAGAAAATCCCTCAAGCGGTTTCTTTGTACAAGTTGGAAGTGTAACTGGGTAGGCTCTTGTCCTGAGGGGATCCCTCCTTTTATTCCATTTTGCACAGGGCCTGCCCTTATTGAGCACAAACAAGCATTGGCTCCAAGATTAACTTGTTAAATTTCCTGGTGTTCGTTTTCCCTTCCAGCTATATATTTTGTACTTCTTTTTGTCTCCCTCACTGTTCTTCACTTTAGATCTGCATAAGAGTGATACTAATAGGACAGTCAATATTAGGTTGTCTTAAAGTCTCCTCAGCCAAGGAAATTAGTTCATTGCTTTTTAATTTAGCCACAGTCAGACTCTTAGGACACAGGGGAAAAGCAGCCACATTTCTTTGCCAAAGTACAGTTTCTAGGCCAGTTGCTAATATTGTTTCCTTCTAAAACCTCTTGAGCTGGGGCCTCCATCGTTACAGTTTTCTCAGCATTGGGGTCATCCGATCTTCCGCTAGGATGGCCCAGTGAGCATGTCTTACAGCATTCAACTGCTTTCCTAGTCCAAAGACTTTCAGGCCTGTCACACATCCAGCAAGGCTGTACTTCCTAATCCTCCCTTAACAGTGCCACCAAACTATGAACCAAGTGTTCAAATACATGAGTCTATTGTCACACAAACCACCATGGAGGCAGTGACTTATTCAGTAAGATGTTTCAGAATTGCAGAAGCTGCATCATTTAAGGTCTCCATTTTTGAAACATTGTAACATGTTTTCTGATCTAGCACAGAAGCCAAGCCCAAGGATGCTTTATCTCCTCACCTAAATTATTTAACCCATTATGTCTTTGGTTGTGAGCCTAGCCTTTAATGGCTGACCCATCATCTCTTCAGCCTTAAACCATTCTCATTTCCCAATTAACAGTTAATTTTCCTCTGGCTATTGGAGAGGAGAGAATGGCTCATGTCTTGTTTGTCTTGTAGGTCAGTCAGTGGACCCGGCTATGTGAGCTCACCATCCCTTTGGCTGTTGAGAATTTTCTCCAAGGGACTTTTGATCAGCCCCCAGCTATCCCTGAAGAAATCCTACAGCTCGAGAGAAAGCTCAGCGAGCCTGTCAGAGTCCACAACGATGACAAACTCCGCAGGCAGAAGCTGAAGCAACAGAAGACTGCTGGGGTTGAGCCTTCCTCTGGCAAGGGAAAAGCAAAGGGCAAGGCGGGTGCACAGCAACCACCCAAAGAGCTGGCTGGCTCATCCAAGAGTCTGGAGCTGAAGGTGGCATTCTCAAAGCTCACAGTGAAAGATGCAGCTGCTGCCAACAGGGAGCCTTCTCACATCAGGAAGGCGAAAGCCTCTGACCTTCCGCCTCTGGAGCACGTGTTTGCAGAAGGGCTGTACTTCACTCTGGCGGACATTGTGCTCTTACCCAGTGTTCATCACTTTTTGGTAAGAGGTTGTCTGGAGTCTGTGTTATTATGAGTTTCAGTTTGTCTAATCTGTAAAGTGGAGGTCACAGGACCTTGGTGTCATTAGGCGCTTGTTGTCTTCCCTCCAGAGATACATGATTTAAAGTCTTGCTCCCCGGCCTGTTACATGGCTGGGAGATGGTGAGGCCTACTGCAAGGCAGCTGTGGCAATGGCTGTATGCTGCTGGTTAGCTGGATGTAGGCGCCGTGGCCCCTCTCTCTTTCAGCTTCTTGCGTGAGGGGAATAGGTTTTGTGCCACCACAGGTCCAAGATATTAGGGCCACGTGAGCAAGGACTGAAATCTCTGGAACTATGGCAAAATCAGCCTTTTCCCTGTTAAGTTTCTGTTGCTAGTCTTTCTCTGTCCTGCCATCCAGCTGCAAATAAACAGCACGGAGACTTCTTACTAATTCTGAAAGCTCGGTCGATAGCTCAGGCTTGTTTCTGTCTAGCTCTTATAACTTTAACTAACCCATTTCTTATAACTTTAACTAACCCATTTCTGTTTATCTACGTGTTGCCATGTGGCTCATGGCTTTCACTTCTTTTCTTGCGTGTCTGTCTCTTCCTTCTGCATCCACTGGTGACTCCATCTTCCTCTTCCCAGTATCTTATCTGTTCCCCAAATCCTGCCTAGCTATTGACCATTTAGCTTTTTATTAAACCAACCTTAGTGACACATCTTCACAGTGTACAAAAACTTTATTCCACAACAGTTTATTATCTCAGTAATTTTCTTTTTCAAAAATAAGGTTTATCACACATGCAGTTTTCTGTATGTATTTATGCTTGCATACCAGAAGAGGGCATCAGATCTCATTATAGATGGTTGTGAGCCACCACATGGTTGCTGGGAATTGAACTCAGGCCCTCTGGAAGAGCAGGCAGCTCTCTTAACCCCTGAGCCATCACTCCAGCCCTCAGTAATTTTGTTATAGTGATGAAAAGCTGATTGATTATACTCTGTAATGTTATCAGTGTAAGGAATAAAGAAAATTATGGTTAATTTATTTCCTAGTAGTTTGTCTCTGTGTGCATGTGTGTCTGTCTGTCTGTCTGTCTGTCTGCCTGCCTGCCTTGTCCTCTCTGGGCAGGGGGCAGGTGAAAATGCCATATTGTACAAGGCAGGCTAGCTTTTGTAACCTTCCAGTTGGTTCTCTATAGCTGCATTTTTCCTCCTTTGAAGCTTGGTCCCCTTTTCCCTAATAAGGACCCAGAAACACGACTTTATCCTCATTATATAGCATCCTGTCTTAGAGGTCTCCATTGGAAGGGGAAAGAAAATCTGTAAATTTGGCGTTTGTACAGTATGAGGAAATTGTTATTTTCTTAAGGAACCTTTTGTCTTGTTGCAAAAGTGAAATGAAACAAAAATAGTAACCAAAATTATTTCAGAATTAATCATCATGGAAAAAGACAGATTTGGGAACCATTTAGGCATTGATTGGTATTTTAAATGTCCTATAACTGTCTTTTCCTAGTTGAATAATTTCTAGTCTCATTTATCTCTGATTCTTCCCTTTTATTACTATAGACATCAATCTTTAGTCATATACTTTGCAAGATTTGGTATTCATGATTTTTAATTTTTTGAGAGTTCATAGTGGTACACACATTATTTGTAGACATTACTGAAAGCGTGTATGTTGGGAGCTGTCGTAGCACTAGGAATGCAGTGTAGAGCAAAGCAGATAAGATCCCAGAAGTCATTGGAGTTAATTTTCTAGTTAGGGGAACGGAGAAATGAACAAGTAAACAAACAAATAATATTTATATAAAGTAATGTTAAATGCTACAGGGAAAATAAGAGTATTTGATTTTTAATTCAAGAAAGCAAAACCCAAATTGGAGTCACCTGCATGGAGGTGACTTTAGGTCGTCCAGATGGCCCCATTCATCTCAGATGATTTGCATTTCATTTTAGATGAATTTAAATGCCATTTGCCTGATTGGGATTAATCAAAGCCAAAGCATTTGTAATTGACAGGATTTTTCCCATCTGTAATCAGGTAGGATATCAACTTGACTGAGTCAGTCTGATGCTACAGAGGAACACTGGGTTTAAAATAGAGCAAAACTGGCCAGTGAAATGACAATAGCGAATAAATTCATGTGCTGTGTATGAGCAAGAGAAGCTGCGTTCCATCCATGGCACCCACAGTGGAAGGACAGAACAGATGTCTGAAAGCCATTCCCTGCCCTCGGCAGACATGTCTTGGTGTAAGCATGCTTGTGCTGAAACACTTATACCATGTACATCCATCATAATAATCTTAGAAAACCGTTAAGAAACAAGGTAAAAACACATACTTATTGTTTTGTATTACATGGTTTTGAAACAGAGACTCCTATATCCTAGGCTAGCCTTAGATTTCTTATCTAGCTGAGGATTACTTTGAACTTCCGATCCTCCTGCCTCTGCCTTCCAAATATTGGATTATCGGTATGTATCACTACATCCCAGTACACAGTGAGGGATTCAAATCTAGGGCTTCATGTATCCTAGGTAAAAACTCTTGTCAACAGACCTATATTCACAGTCCATTGTTTTAAGGACATTTAATATATAAAATAATTTTCCTTCATCCCTTTGTATTTTTCCTGAATTTGCACATTTTCTTTTAGGAATTCATCAAAGGCTTTCTTTGTCAAAGCCTTCAAGTTGTTTCTGGTATATTTTCCTCCCCTGAGTCATTTTGAATTTTGAATGATGCTGTTACTGGAAGTTTTGAGATGCCCCACATGGTTTGTGAGAGCTGAACTTGGGTCCTCAGGAAGAGCAGCAATACTCTTAAAATGAAGAGCCACCATGTAGGCATTTTATATTATGAGACAAGTATTAGCAACGTCTTTTGGAAATAATTTACCTTCTAGCTATTCTCATGTGTACAATGTGTTTCATTCCTGGCCTGTTTTGTTTTTCTCTTCTCTCTGTCACAGAAGTAGGTGACAACCCAAACAAAGGGCTTTAGAGGACACTTAGAGACAAACATGCTTGGGTCTCAAATGAGGTGTGGGCCAAGCTTCTCAGTGAGCTCAAATACACATGACAGTTTACTAACATAATATATGTTATACCTCTTTCATATACATAAAAATTAAAATCAAAGAATTATAGGAAAGATAACGTGTACTGTGTTTTTCTGAATCTAGTTTATCTCACTTAATACAATAATTTTCAAATGTGTATATTTTCCTGCCAGTTTCATTTCTCTTTACAGCTAAATAAGATCCATTGTGTACATGTATTACAGTTTTCATTATCCATTTATCTTTTGATGGGATTCTATTTCCTGGCTGTTTAAATAGTGCACCAATAAACAGGAATGTGTAGAGTCCTTTGAATGCATGTCCAGGAATGGTGCAGCTGGGTCTTATGGTAATTTAGTCGGGAGAACTTACATACTGAATGTAGGGTGTGTGTGTGTGTGTGTGTGTGTGTGTGTGTGGGGGGGGTGTGCAGGGCTCCCCGTGTGTGTGTGTGTGTGTGTGTGTGTGTGTGTGTGTGTGTGTGTGTTGCACAGAGAGGGCAGAGGATGATGTCAGGTATACTTCTCTATCCCTGCCTTATTTCTCAGTGAATTTTGGGCTAGTCTGGTGGTCAACGAGTCCCAGCAATCCTCTCTTTCATATCCCCTCCCCCTGCCTTGCCTTTTCATTTTCCTGGAGATTCAAACTTAGGTCCTCAGGCTTGCACAGCACGTGCTTTACCTGCAGCTACTTTCCAGCCCCTTATTGATTCTTAGAGTGGTGGCTGTATCTGTTTACCTCCCCACCAGCAGTAAGTTAGGGTTTTTCCTTCTACCCATTCTGCCCAGCATTTTGTTATTTGTTTTCTTGATAATAGCCATTTTGACTAGGCAGAGATGAAATCTGAAAGTGGTCTTCAAACGCATTTCCCTGATGGCTAAGGATGGTGAAGATGTCTAAAATATTTATTGGCCATTTGTTTCTTCTTTTGATAACTGTCTATTCAGTTCATTAGCTCATATATTGACTAGAAGATCTGTTTTATCTTGTTTTTTCGAGACAGGGTTTCGCTGTATACCCCTGGCTGTTCTGGAACTCCCTCTGTAGATCATGCTGACCTCTGTCTCAGGGATCCACCTGCTTCTGCCTCCCAAAGTTCTGGGATTAAAGGCATGCACCTAGCACCTTGCTGAAATATTTTGTTTGTTTAATTTTGCAGTTCTCTTAACTCCCATCTGAAATTAGTTAGACAAAGATTTCATCCCATTCTTCAGGCTGTCTTTTCCCTCTACTGATGTTTTCCTTTGCTGTGCAGAGATTGTAATTTCATGAAGTGCCTTTTTTTTTTTTTTTTTTTTTTTTTTTTTGATCTTGAGATTACTTCTTGTGCTATTGGAGTTCTGTTAGGAAAATTCTTTCCTATACCTAGGTCTTGAAGTGTTTTCACATTTTTTTTTCATAGCAGTTTTAGCATTTTAGATTTTTAAATTAAGGTCTTTGATCAGTTTTGAGTGGATTTTTCTTCTGAATGAGACAAAACTTATTTCATTCTGCAGTGGATATCCATTTGTGTCAGCACCATTTATTAATAGACTATCCTACTCCCCCCCCCCCAGCATATAGCTTGTCTGTTTGTTTGTTATGTTCTGAATGTCAATCAGAAGCCCCTGCTCTGCTATAATCCTTGGGGGAATAAAACCACCGCGGTGCAGGGGCTGGAAAGAAGGCTCAGCAGTTAAGAGCATGAACTGCTTGCTCTCCTAGAGAACCTGCTCTTGATTGCAGCACATGAATCAGGCGGGGTGTAACTGCCTGTAACTCCAGCACACACACACACACAATGTGCATTTTTGAGCATCCTTGTCAAAAATTAGGTGGCCATAACTACATGGTTTTGTTTCTGGGTCCTCTATTCTGCTGCATTTGTCTGGATATATGTTTTTGTGTTGGTGTCAATTCTCTTTATCTCTGTTGCTTTGTAATGTAATTTAAGGTCAGCTATGGTCTTACCTCCAGCATTGCCTTTTCTGTTTAGGATGCTTTGGCTACATGTGATCTTTTGTGTTTCCATATGGATTTAAATCCATATGGATTTAAACTTTCTTTTGATAGTTCTGTGATGAATATCATTGGTTTTTTTTAAAAAAAATGAGAATTATACTGATTACAGATAACTTTTTATAATAAGGCTACTCCCACTGGGGGTTCTAAGTATCAAACTCCAAAATCCTTCAGTTTGTATAGCAAGCACTTCACCCTTTGAGCTGCCTTGCTTGCCATGGTTTTGCAATTGTAATTCTGCCAGTTCAGGAGTGTGGACCGTGTTCCCATCTTCTGGCATCTTCAGGTTCTTCTTCCATGTCTTAAAGTTTTCAGTGTAGAGGTGGTACACTGTCCTGGTGTCTTTTCTTTTTAATAAAATTTAATTTATGGGAGATGGGATATTTTCCATAGTTTCTCTTTTGTTAAGTTTCTTATTAGCAAATAAAAAAGTAACTGATTTTTGCATGTTGATTTTTGTATCCTATAGCTTTACTAAAAAGTGTTTCTCATATATAAAAATTTCCTGGTGAAGTCCATAGAGTCTTTTAAATATAGAGCTATGTATACAAATGGGATAATTTTACTCTTGTTTCTGTTTATATCCTGTTTCTATATCTTTTTGGCCTTAGTTCTAGTTAAGAATTCTGATTCTATATTGAATCACAGTGGAGAGTTGGCACCCTTGTTTCATTCCAGATTTAATAGGAAATGCCCTCAATCTTACCTGAATTGATGTAATATTGCCTGTGGGTTTGCCATATATAATTATTATTATGCTTAGGTATATTGTATTTCCAATTTCCTTAGAACTTTTATCATAAAGGCATGCTGAACTTTGTCAAATAACCTTCTCTGAATCTATTAAGATGATCATATAATCTTTTTTTGGTTATATTTTTGTCTCATTTCACTTATTGCTCTGTAGATGTTGTACCAACTTACATTCCTGAAATGAACCCAGCATGTCATCATGTATGGTCTTACTGTGTTCTTGAATTCAACTACAAGCACTTTATTGAGGAGTTTTGCATCTATGTTTATTAAAGAAATTTGCCTATAGGTTTCTTTTTTCTATTGTGTCTTTATTCAGTTATGGTACCAGGTTAAAACTGCCTTTGCAGCATTCTTTCATTTTATACTTTGTGGGGCAAATTGAGAAATATGAGTTGTTAGATCTTCCTTAAAATTGGGTAGAATTTGTCAGCAAATCTACCTTATGTAAGGCTGTTCTTTGTGGAGATACTTTTCATTACTGTCTGTGATGGTTTGAGTGAAAATGGATCCCAAAGACTCATATATTTTACAACTTGATCCCCATTTGGTGGAACTGGGAATGGTTAGGAGGTATAGCCTTGTTGAGGATGTGTGCCATGAGGGATGAGCTTTGAGGTTGCAAAAGACTTGCACAATTCCCGGTGCCTGCTCTCTCCCTCCCTCTCTCTCTCTCTCCCTCTCTCTCTCTCTCTCTCTCTCTCTCTCTCTCTCTCTCTCTCTCTCTCTCTGTCTCTCTCTCTTCCCCTCTGCCTCCTACTTGCTAGTCAAGATGTGAGCTCTCAGTGGCCTCTCCAGATGTCCTTGCTGCTGAGCCTTTGTCCTGCCTCTGATTTCTAACCCCTGCAACTAGAAGACAAATTAAATGTTGTCTTTTATAAGTTGCCTTGATCATGATGTTTTCTCATAGCAATAGAAAAGTAACTAATATACTGTTTTAACTGCATTGCTTGTTTTGATCTTTTAAAATTGCCTCTATCTTTTTTAATTTTGATATTCATGAGTATAGAAACCCATTTATTCTAACTTTTCCAGCTTTTTGGAAGATAGTTTTCACAGTATTCCCAAATGATCATCTAGGTTGGAGGATTGTTGGATCCTGTTCTTACAGTTCGCCTTTCACCTTGTCTTGTGTTGGTATCTCTTTTGGTTAATTTGACTAAGGGTTTGTTCGTCTTGCTATCCTTTTAAGAACCGGCTAATGCATTTTAGTTTGGCTTCTTTTTATAGAATCTTGATAGATCTTGAGTTGGATGATTAGGGTAGCTGAGATCTCTGTTACTTTTTTCTTTCTTTCTTTCTTTTTTATTTTAAATGAGCTGTAAGCTTTCCTTTTAGGGAAATATCAGGAGATTCTGATTCTGGCTGAATGTGTTATGATTTCATTTGATCCTAGAACTTTTTAAATATCTTTCCAGATTTTCTGAATGGTCCTATTCATTCAAATTTATATTGTTTAGTCTCCATTGTCTTTATGTAGTTTCTGAGATTTCTTTTGCAGTTGCTTTCTAGTTTTATTTCACTCTGGTTTGATGAGATACATATTTTTCCTTTATTGTAGTTGCAGAATCTTATTTTGTGGCCTAAAATGTGATCAATTTAGGAGTTGGTTCTATATGCCTCTGGGAAGAATATGTGTTCCCTGTTTGTTAGATGGACTATTTTGTAGATATCTATTGAAATCAGTTGAGCTATGGTAGTATAATTTAGCTTTAATGTTTCTTCACTAATTATTAGTTTGAATAGCTATCTAAATATGAGTGGGATATTGAAGTTTCCTGCTATCAAGACCTTTGGTACCCTTTGTGATTTTAAGAAACCAAAAGTTCTAAGATTCAGTGCCAAAAATACTTAGAATTGTTATGTCTTCTTGATGGATTGTTTTCGTTAACATGTAGTTGTCCTCCCTATCTCTTTTGCTCATTTTGCTTTGAAGTCTACATTGGCAGAAATGAAAATCCTCTTGAGTTGGCTCACTGCTTTTATTTGCTTAGATTGACTTGTATCCTTTGACTCAGTTTTTGGACTTTTGGCCAGCTAAGTATATTTCTTAGAAAAAAAGAAAACAGTTGGATACTCTTTTGTTTGTTTGTTTTAAATCCAGTCTGTTAGTTTATATCTTTTTCACTGGTGAATCCATTTGCAAATAAAGTCATTATTGAGAGGGATATGATGTGGTTTGGTGATTCTGGTTGGTTGGATTATTGTTGCTTGTTGTCTTCTCTTCTGCTCAGACAAACAGTTTGCTGTGTTAGACACAAATGATTTTTCAGTCCTTCGTTCTTCTGTTGCTTTCATGGAATCTGTGCTTTCCTACATGTTTTATGTGAAATTGTCTTTCTTTCTCTTATGTTTATTGTGTTACTTAAAGAATTTGCTTCAGTGCTGGTGTGGCTGGCGTGAATTGCTTTAATTTGTGCTTTTCTTGAACTGCTTTTATTTCTCCCTCCATTCTAGAAAAGATAATCTTGCCATTTATAGAAATCTAGGTTGACAGTTACTTTTGGGGCCTGAAATAATGGATTATTTCATGTTTTCTTGGCTTTAAGAATTGCTTGTTATTCTGATATTTCTGCCTCTGTGTGAGTTGGCATTTTCCCCTTACAGCTTTTAACATTGATTCTTTGTATTTTTGGACATCTTGACTATGATATTTTATGTTAGAGATTCTTCTCTGGCCATAACTATTAAGTTATAAATTCCTCTTGATTTGGGTGTCTGTCACTTTCTTGTGTCTATCTGTTACAATTTTATTGAATAAATTGCCTATGCATTTATATTTTGTCCCAGCTTTTTCTTTTACCATCTTCATTCTTGAGTCTAGTCTCATGAATGTATCTTGAAAGTTTTGGTAGTATCTGCACATCTGAATTTATTATTATCATGACTTTTTCTCTGTCCCTGAAGTTTATTCTTTCACTTTGTCTTGTTTCTTCTTGTTGTTGTTTGTGGTGATGGTGATGTATGTGCACGTGGTGTATATGTGTGATATTTTCTTGCTTGTGTAACATGCACTTTATCCACTAAATAATCTCTTTGGCCCCCAAAGAAGCTTTCTACTGTGTTTTTATTTAATAAATTGATCCTTTTATTTCAAGAATATAGTTCTTGTTAAGTGTCTCAATTTCCTTACTGATTTTTGATTTTCTTTCTTTCTTTTTCTTTTTAGTTTCTTCTCCAAGTTACTAGCCATTTCTTTTACTTTGGTTGCTTTCTTGTCTGGATCCTGAATTGATTTTCTTGCCTTGTTCTTGCACTTATTTATTTGAGTTCTCTGCATGGTCATTGATTCCTTTTTAATGTGGGACTAGGAGATCTTTTGACATTTGAATAACCTCACTATCTTTGGTCATCATTATTTGGGAGTTATGAGCTTATAGAAGAAAAGTAGTATTTTTCTGTGTTTGCCTCTGACCTCCACATACTGTCATGGGTAACAATCAAGTGCCTGTCCTCAAACACTTGTATCATTACGATATCATACATAAAAAATAAAAATAAATAAAAATGAAAATATACGTGGAGGAATGGGAATCTCCATAGCAGGAATATAAAATGGTATGGCCATCATGGAGGATAATTCAGTAGTTTCAACCTGCCAGTTTTCTTCATGATAGCCAACACCTACAAACATACCAGTACCCACCAACTGCTGGCTAATCAGACAAGTACAGTAGACTGGTTCTTCATAATGAGTGTTACTACTAATAAAGAAAGCAAAGTACTGATGAACAAACATGCGTAATGTTGGAGACATAATGCTAAATGATAAAAGACAAATGCTTTGTTTTTATGATTATATTAACTTGCATGAAAGGCAACATTATAAACACAGAAAACCGATTACTGGTTAGGAGTGCAGAAGTGTACTGTAATTGTCAGTGTTGTGGTGTCCTCGAGCTGGATCATGGTGATAGTTGTACAGTCATTTGAATTTCCTGGAGCTCTTTTGAATTGTACCTTTGAGATGTGTGAGTTTGATGATGTATGATACTTCCCTGCTACCGTTATAAACAGTCAAAAATATATATTTTAAAACATTGTTTTTTTTCTTTTCCAGATAGTTATCTGCAAGAAATTTTCTGAGAAGCTAGAACAGTTTCCACTGCTAACCTCTTGGTATCAGAGGATTCAGGAAGTGCCAAAAGTAAAACCAGCAGCTTCTAAGTGTGGGATCCACTTTCTGAACTTGCCAGAATTGCTGAATTCTGAAAGTAAAGCACACATGAACTCTGATGAAGTGACAGCTGCAGAGGAACAAAATGGCCCCTTATTTACCGGAGGACCAAGACCAACCATGACCAAGTTAATGGTATGTAGCTTGTTTTATTACTTTTCTTTAAAAAAAAAAAAAAAAAAAAAACAATCCTGTGAGCATTCTTTCCCAACTAGTAATCATTTTCTGGCATCACCTATTACACATTACTCATGTATCAATTCGTATCATTATTTACCAAATAATGTTTCTGCCATTTTTGTGTTCAAATAAACCACAATAAATCGAATAGGTTTAATGCTGTTTGTCTTTGGTACCAAGTCAAAAAGTAGTATTTTTCTTAAAACATATTGAAATATCACATTGTAGACCAGTGTAACATCATATCTGATCAAGTGTATCATTTTAACCAAGCTTGCTATGTTAGAGAACTTTGATTTCAGTTCTTTTTTTAGTTATTGATTGAGTTAACGATTTTTAGTCTGATTTATTAGATTAATGGCATTATTTTTTAATTTCAGATTTTGAGGGTTTTATACATGAGTACTGTATTTATATCATTTCTGCCTTCCCTGTTTCTTCAAGTTTTTCTGTAACTCCACTTCTCAAATTCATAACCTTTAATTGTTGTTATTACATACACACATACACACACACACACACACACACACACACACACACACACACACACACAAACCCAAAAACCAAAGTAAAACAAAAACCCCATTGAATCCATTTAGTGTTGCTTGTGTGTGTATGTATTTAAGGGTGTCCACTTGGGATTGGATAACCTATCAGGGAACTCGTTCCTGGGGAAAACTTATTCTCCCTTTCTCTCTCTGCAGCCATAACTGCCTATAGGTTTTCATCTAGGGCTAGGGCCCTGTGTTACTTCCCCTATCTGAGGTTGGCTTGACGATTTCATGGGAACAGTTTCTTTATCATATGTAGAAGACGCTATCTTGAAGATAACATGCTAGCCCCTTGAATTTTACAATCTTTGCCTTCTTCAATGCTTTCTGATACTTGGGCCTTGTGTTGCAGTTGTATCAACTGGGGCTGGACACACAATGGACTGTTACTCTCTGTATTTTGACCAGTTGTGGATTTCTGTATTAGCCTTCATGTGCTGCAAACAGAAGCATTTTTTGATTAGGGGTGAGGCTACCCTTATCTGTGGGTTTAAGATTAAGTATTTAGAATTCAGTTAGGTAGTAGTGATTTCTCCTATAGGGTCCATGACCTTACCAGACACAGATAGTTGGCTATGCTTACAGTTCTAGGAATGAATTCTCTACTAATGAGCAGGCCTTAAGTCCAATTAGATAGTTATTGATTAACCACAAGATAAAGACAAATGACACTATTGCACCTTTGTGGGTATCTTTCATGCTGGCCATGGCCTTTACAGCTGAGAAGAACTATTGATTTTTCTCCCTTGTTAGCTTGCATGGTACCTATCAATACTATTAAAGCTAATCCTCAGGGAGGAGGCTTCTAGGTCATGTCTAGCTCAATTCCTCCACATCCTGTCTCTGAAGTGTGCAGTGTCTTCAACAGTTGGGTCTTTCCAGTAATTTCTGGAAGGTAGCAAGGAGCAATAGCAATAGCCTGTATTGTACTGAGAGGTGCAGTCTTTTAATTTAAGATGATATTTTAAGGTTAAATGTAAAGAAATAGAACTTAGAGAAATCATGAAATTAATTTAAAGATTTTAAAAAATAGAAAAGTGAATAAAAACCTCAATTTACTTTCCAAAGTGTATATACTTGAGGAAGGTACGTGTGTGTGTGTGTGTGTGTGTGTGTGTGTGTGTGTGTGTGTGCAAGTAGTGTCTCAATATAGTTGTATTTCTTTTTAAAGACCCTAAAGTAGGAATAAGATTGGAAGTGAGTAATAAACTCAGAGTAAAGGCAATAGAAATGTGATAGGTGATTTCAGAGAGATATGTTTTTTATTCTTATAGAAACAAATGAGTACTTGATTTCTAGATCCATAGTTATACCTGTATCCCTAGTAAAATGATTGTTCACTTTTTCTTTGGGGACCCAAATCCAATTAGTTGTCATGAATGAAAGTGACCTCATGAATAACTGTTAAAAGGAGAATTATCAGCAATTTTTATTGTATTTTACTTGCTTAATTATGGTTTTTTTTTTTTTTTTTTTTTTTTTTTTTTTTCCCCTCTTGGGAAAGATGAGAGTTCTTAATGTTGCTTACTCTGGCCTGACTTATGGGCTCAAGTAACTCTCCTATTTCAGACCTTGTAGTGCTAAGACTTACACTTATACACCAACATCCCTGGCTATAAATTGTCCTTAAATAGGCTTGCTAGAGATGATATCTGAACAGTGGATGTGGACTCACGTTTTGTGATTGGAAGACTGTAAATCCATATATTTAATGTGCCACTGTCCATAGAACAAATAATAAATTTACAACTTTTGGTTGTTGGTTGGTTGGTTTGATATGGATCTTATGTAACCCAGGTTAACCTTCATCTCTTGATCCAAGTGCTGGGATTAAAGCAGTATTTCACCATGCCTAGCTTTAGATGCATAATTTCTAACATAGGAAAGAATGCTGAAATACAATTTAATGAATTAAAAAAAGTTTTTCTTTAAAATTTTAGGATATGTTAGAAATACTATCATCAGATAAATTGATAGACTGATGTGTTCTGGGTTATGAGTTTTTTAGGTACAGTAAGTGTAGCTTGCAGTTTAAATAAGTGGTTGTCATGTATAAAGATAGACTGATGGACAATGGAAGGTCGGGTTTTTGTATTTTGTTTTTTGTTTTTTCTTTTTTTGTTAATAATCTATATGTTATTTTTGGTAAACTTATTTAGTTTTCAAGTGACTTTTCTCTGTTATGCCATATATGTGATTTGTTTATTTATTTATGTGTGTGGCATTTTGTATATATGTGCATGTGTGTATGTACAACACATGCTTGCCTAGTGCCAGAGGAAGTCAGAAGAAGCCATTGGATTCCCTGTAACTATTGTTAAGGATGGTGTGAACCACCATGTGGGAGTTGGGAGTCAAACCCAGGTCCTCTTCAAGAGTAACACGTGCTCTTAACTCCTGAGTCATTTCTCTAGTCCTGACCTAGTATGTTTATTGGCTTATTTTACATAGTTTCAGTGTTACTTTTTATTACCACAATTAAAAATAATAGAAATGTACTGATTTCAAAATAGCATTTTGAACAGACATTTTATATTTTTTTATAACATTCTGTATTTTTTGTACGAGATTAAATATTTTGGTATACATATGATTAATTTTAATTGTTTTTGTTAGTATAAAAAATAGAACTGTGGTCTTTGAAAACACGATTTTATTGGTGAACTAACTTGGAAAGCTTGCTTCCTTTTCTAGGAGACAGGAATTGAAGCGATATTTTCTCCACACCCTTGTCCTTCTTGGACCCTTGACTGGAACAGCCTTCCTGCTGCTGTCAGCCCAAAGGAAGGTGAGCTTTGGTTTGATTGTTGGTGTAAGATTTTATGTTCAATCTGGATACTCACTTTATTTCTTCTGGTGAGTGCACTCCTAACAATTTACTTTTCTGTGGATTTTATAATGTTGGAGTATGAATTCAGTTTGGTGTTACCTTAATCTGTGGTTCTCTGCAGTATTTGGGTTAAGGGTAAATCTCACAGAGTTAATATTTCCTCCTTTCAAGCATCTACAAATGTAGAACTTAGGACTCTACTCATTAGCCTTTCAGCTTCCAGTTCTGCTTGTCTGTTCTTGTTTGGAGCTGAAGTCATCGACCTTTGTTGCTGGATGGGACTTCCGTGTGGGGTTTTCAGGGTTACAGCTTTCAGCGTTTCTGTTTTATATGGTCATGGTTGCCCCAGCTCTGCAGAGACAGTCAAGGATGAGCTTCTCTTCTCCATCCTGCTATTGTGGTGCAGGTCCCAAATACGTAGAAAAGTCCTCAGGGCAGCCATGGTGCCAATTCAAGGTTATTACACTCATTTTGAGCCTTTTACCCTTTTAAAAGACTTCATGGATTTTTCTGACTTTCAGAAACTACGTTAAACATGTAAAGGGAACTTGTTGAGTTTTAAATACCATTTAAAAATCCTTTTAGGTGGAAAAAATTTTAGCATAGATTAAAGATTTATTTCTTCAATTATTCTCCTGTTCTTTAGTTTTATTTTTTGCTGCAATTGAGTTTTTAAAAATTTTCATTTGTTCTTTGAGAATCCCTTTCAAAGTGTTTTGATTATATTCATCCCCCATCCTCCAAGTATTCCCAGGTCCCCTCCCCAATGTCCTACTCATTCAACATTGCATTTATATATATATATTTATTATTTTTTATTATTTTACATTTGATCCCAGTTCCCTCTCCCTTTCTCTTTCCCTCCTTTCCTCCCTCCCCTCTCCCTCCCTCTCTCCCTTCCTCCCTCCCTCTCTCGTATGTCCCCTGAACCCCCTCCCATCTCACTCCCCCCACTCCACAGGGAGGGTGATGTCCTCCAGGAGAGATCATCAAAATTTGTCAAGTCATTTGGAGTAGGGACTAGACCCTCCCCCCCCTCCTGCCTCTAGGTTAAGTGAGTATCCCTCCATGGAGAATGTGCTCCCAAAGTCCTTCTGTGCACCAGGGATACATCCTGGTTCCATTGTCAGAGGTCCCTTAGACTGCCCAGGCCTTCTAACTGAGACCCACGTTCAGGGTCTGAGTCAGTCTAATGCTGGTTTCCCAGCTATCAGTCTGGGGGATCCACTAGCTCCGCTTTGATGTTCAAATCAGCTGTCTCTGTGTGTTTCTGTAGCCTGGTCTTGACCCCTTTTCTTATCACTCCTCTCTCTCTGCAACTGGATTCCAGGAGATCAGCTCAGTGTTTAGCTGTGGGTATCTGCTTCTGTTTCCATCTGCTACTAGATGAGGGCTCTAGGATGGCATATAAGGTAGTTAAATTATAAATCTCATTATCAGGAAAGGGCATTAAAGGTAGCCTCTCCACTATTGCTCAGATTGTTAGTTGGGGTCATCCTTGTAAGTTTCTAGACAGTTCTCTAGAGTCAGTCTTCACATCAAGCCTATAATGGCTCCCCTCTTATGGCATCTCTTTTCTTGCTGTTGTCTGTTTGTCCCCAGACTCAGTCTTCTTGGTTCCTTATGTTCTCTGCTTCCCTCCTCCTCTCCCTCTCTCTTACTCCTACCTCCCTCTCCACTCACTGCCCTCCATCCCCGTTCTCAATATGCTCTTGTCCCTTTCCCCTTCTGTGGGGGACCTTGTATGACTCTGTTAGGGTCCTCCTTGTATCCTAGTTTCTCTGGCAGTGATCCCTTGCTTTGTGTCTAAAATCTCTAAAATTCATATATGAGTGAGTACATGCCATGTTCCTCTTTTTGTGACTGGGTTACCTCACTCAGCATGGTTTCTTCCAGCTCCATCCATTTGCCTGCAAATTTCAAGATTCTTTCGTCCCCTGCCCCCCCCCCCCACTGAGTAGTATTCCATTGTGTAGATGTGCCACATCTTCTTTATCCTTTCTTCAGTTGTGTGGCATCTAGGTTGTTTCCAGATCCTAACTTTACAAATAATGCTGCTATGAACATAGTTTGAACAGTTGTGTTTGTTGCATGAATGTGCATCTTTTAAGTGTATGCCTAAGAGTGGAATTGACGGGTCCTGTGGTAGACTGATTCCCATTTTCCTGAGGAACCACCGTACTGATCTCCAAAATGGCTGTACAAGTTTGCACTCCCACCAGCAGTGGAGGAGTGTTCCCCTTTCTCCACATCCTCTCCAGCATGAGTTGTCATTGGTGTTTCTGATTTTTACCATTCTGGCAGGAGTAAGATGGTATCTCAGAGTTGTTTTGATTTGCATTTCCCTGATAGCTAAGGATGTTGAGCACTTTCTTAAGTGTCTATCAGCCATTTTTGATTCTTCTATTGAAAATTCTGTATTCAGTTCTGTACCCCACTGTTTAATGGGATTATTTGGTGTTTTTGTGACTAGTTTCTAGAGTTCTTTGTATATTTTGGAGATCAACCCTCTGTCAGATGGGGGTTGGTGAAGATCTTTTTCCAGTCTGTGGGCTACTTTTTTTTTTTTTTAACCCATCAAAAACATTTTGTGCTTCCTAAATATTTCCTGAAGTGTGGGTTTTCACTAGAGCATGCTCTACTTACAAGGGGCACACAGAGAAAACTGACTCTCCCCATCTCTTCAGGCAGCAGTTATCAATAGTAGGGGTACTGGGATCTGGTCTTTCTTGAGGTGGCACAAACAAGTCTTACACATGTCTGAAAGTGGAGTTTTCCTGTACTTCAAATTGCTCCCAGGTAACCACATGAAGCTTAATATTAATTACAAATGCTTAGCCAATAGCTCAGGCTTATTCCTAGCTAACTCTTACATTTAAATTAAACCCACATTTCTTTTCTTTTCTTTCTTTTCTTTTTCCTTTAGGCTTTTCGAGACAGGATTTCTCTGTGTACCCTGGCTGTCCTGGCACTCGCTCTCTCTGTAGGCTGGCTCAAATATACAGAGATCTGCCTACCTCTGTCTCTTGAGTGCTGGGATTGAAGCTGTGTGCCACCACTGCCTGGCTTAACCCCTATTTCTTATCTATGCTTTGTCACATGCCTTGTTACCTTTTCTCAGTACAAAATGTCCATCTTGCTTCTCTGATCATCTGCTCTCAACTCCAGACTCTGCATTCTCCTTCCAGCGTTCTCAGTGTGGGTGTCCTGCCTGACCTTATGGGTTTAGCTATTGGCCAGTCAGCTTCTTTATTGAACCAATCACAGCCACACATATTCACACAGTATATAGGAATATTCCACACATCCCATCACAACTGCTGTGAGTTCATATGTGTAGCTTCTCTACTACGTCCCGAGATACTGTCACATTGCAATCATGTACTGCCTCTAGCTCTGCAACGATCTCTTAGTCTCAAGAGAAGACTAATGTATTTTTTTCCATGAAGCTGAGCATTCAGAATTCTCTTCTTCTCTGAATTGGCCAGTTATGGGTCACTAGGTTAATCGTCTAGCTAGAAGGCATGGATGTACTTTCATAAAGCATCGAAAGGGAGTACTGGGATAAGAAGAGTTAAATTGGAGTGGAGGAGGGAAGAGCAGAGTACAGGAGGAAATCATGGGAGGAATAACTAACACTAAAGACCTTTGGAAAAGCCACATGGAAAGCTACTACTGTAGAAGCTTTCTAAAATATGTGTATACACACACATAGAAAGAGTTACAATGGACTAGTCCTAGTTCTGTAATAGCTCAACAATACATTATGAGATAATACCACAGGGCCTCACTTCAAACAGATGTCTCAGCAGTTAAGAGCACTGACTGCTCTAATTGAGAATCTGCCTTTGGATTCCAGCACACATATAGTTTCTCATAACTGTGCAAGGGATCTGATAACCTCTAGTGATCTCATGAACACCAGGCACACCTGTAGTACACATACATACATGGGCAGGCAAAACACATAAAATAACATAAATGTGACAATTAAAAAACTGTCTAGAGCCAGGAATGTGTTACTCCTTTTTTAGCTGTTGGCCAGTGAGATTCCATTGACCCAAAACATTAGAACCTATTGCCCGTGCTTTTGGTTACCCTGCAGAACTTGACTGTAAGAACCTGTGGTTGAAGACAACGCATACTTAAGTCACAAAACACGGAGAAATCAAGCTAGTACTGAACTGGAAACTTCATCCCTACTTGCATGCCTTTAGCTGGATCATCTGCTTTTCACAAGCAGTGTGAAAAATAAGAAAATGGATCAGCACATCTCCATGGTTTATCCACATGCCAGTCAGTCCTTAACTCTCACCTAAAAAGTTTTCAGTCTTGGATAAACTGGGCAGAATTACCCGGAGTTTTAGATTTGGTGTTTCTTACTACATTCATTAACTATATATAAACAATTTGACACCTACTGTAAGAACCATTTTTTAATTTTTACTAACAAAGGTTGTGTTCGTCCTCATGGTAGAATCAGTTTTAAATCTCCAATCTACCACTTTCTACTGTAACCTGTTTCTCTTCTTATATAACAATTTGACACCTACTGTAAGAACCATTTTTTAATTTTTACTAACAAAGGTTGTGTTCGTCCTCATGGTAGAATCAGTTTTAAATCTCCAATCTACCACTTTCTACTGTAACCTGTTTCTCTTCCTATATCTTGTACTATCGCCTTTCAGTTTCACTTTTAAATCTATATTATCCCTATGTCCTCAGTTTTATTTTTTTTTACTAGTCTGGATACCACAATTCCCATTATTCTTGTGTATTCAAATTATACTCACCTTTTAAGAATCAACTCAAATGCTACTTTTTTAATTAAGCCATATTTCAGAGTCATCTTCTGGATTCAAAACCTAGTTGAGCAACCATCTGCCCAGGTAACTGTGACCAGATGCTCAACTTCTCTGTATTTTGGTTGCTGCAATTGCATCTGTAAAGGGATGATA